CCCCAAAACCCCAAAACCCCAAAACCCCGATTAAGATTGGTGAGGTTGAAGAAGGTTTGGAAAATAATTGGGGAGTATTAAGATGTGAAGAAATAATGAGATTCAGAGGGTTAGAGATTGATAATATACTAGTTTTGGTCATCTCCAAAGTCTATTTCTGTTCTTGTGAATCCTAGATTTTGTACTATTTCTTTATCCTCTTTTTGTTTGAATGGAGAGAAGTTCATTTCAAGCTTCTTCAAAGAATTTATTAAAGAGCATTTAGAGATTGCTGTGAGGATTGAAGTGAATCTATTTCAAGTATAATCATTGAAGTAAATTGTGTAAATATTTTTGGAAAATGTATTTTTGATATGCTGTAAGAGTTGAATAGGATAAGATGTTTTTATACTGAATCGGGATCATTTTAGATGTCATTTGTAGTATTTTAAACTAGTTTTGCAATATTTTATAGTGGTGTATCAGGATTGTTTATCCAATCAGATCGAGTAGAATCTCCGCTATCCCAAAAGCTCAAATAAGTAGTCTTGTATGACCCAATAGAAGGCAAAGTGAGGTTTTCTGTGTCTAGAATGCAGTATCCTAATCAAATAGTTTTCATGTCCTATAACAGAAGGGTTAACATGTTTTAAATATTTAAGAGTTTGTCTTCTAAGTTAAGCATAAAGGAATCTTCGGGAAATTTTGCAGCAAGGATTTTTTCAGGATTTTCGCAGTTTTATGGCTCATTGGAAGGTTTTGGCTACTGAAGAGGTTTTGGGTTTAAAAGATTTGGGGTTGATGTAAAAGTTATGATCAAGATTGGATGAATATATTTTGGGATTGGATATTTTTTAGTGTCATTGGTTAGGTATAAATTCCAGGCTTATAAATGTTCTTTGGAATTAAGTAGGACAAAGTCAAGCCTGATTATGAGGGGAGAGTTTTTTAGCCTTACCTTGGCATGATACATTATTTTTTGAAGTTGTCTTTTAGAAATTTTAAAGCTATCCAAGGATAATGTATCTTCTCCTCCAGTGATAACTTTTGTCAAAGGAATAAAAATTCTACTCAAGCTTCATACTCTGGGTGAATAAGAAGAAACTTCTAAAGTATTGAATTTGTTTGGCATGAGTCTGTTTAGGATGTTTGTAAATTCTTTTTTTCGTTTTCCACTAGAATAATTAGCCCAATTGTCATTCCAAAAGCTTACTTATACGAATTGATAGTGATCTCAATAGATTTGTAGTTTGCCAACTTAAGCTTGGTTAATGCTTTTCAGAATACCCAGTCTGGATCATCACTAATAAACATATTTATCTTTTCCATGCTTTGATAAAATTCACTGTTGACCCTAAGACACATTAGTTAGCAACTTATTAATTTTAATCTAAAAGTCTTATTTTATTGTAATACATCCAGGTAATTTTCTCTTAAACTAATTAATTTTAAAGTATTCATAATATATCTGCACTACTTCCCTCCTCCAATCCCAGATCTAAGGTCTGAATATATAAATAACACCAGAAAAATACACCAACTCCCCACTTTTGTCTCTGACACACAACACCTCCTTAAACCCCCCTTCTCACTCAAACCTAAAATTCTACCTCTAGCTCTCCACCCCTTGCTCTTCTCCCCAATTCCCAGTTAAAATCCCTCAGACCCTGTCTTTTGGCTTACCTTGTGTACCTGTCTTCTGCTCGGTTGACCAGGCTTAAGTCAAGCTTGTGATCTTGAGCGGCTACTTTTTGTTCTGACCTAGAAGAGGTGGTTAAGTGGTGTAGGAGGTTAAAGGGAGAGGGGTTAGGGGGAAGGGAGGATTGAGAGAGTGGGATTTTGATGAGTTTTTGTGTTTTTAGAGGGATAGAGGGGTATTAGATGTGAAATTTTATGCTTAGTGGTGGTTAACAGCTGCTGACTTTTTATTTTGTACTATTTTGATATGATTTTTTATTTTAGAATGTCTTTTTATTACAGAACTCTTAATTAAAATTTCTTATCATACTCAAAACCCACTTCTAACCACCCCCTAAACCTCACTTGGTCTCCTAATTCCTCTGAATCCAGCCCCAATCCTTAAACCCCACTGGTCGCACCCAATTTCTTACTCTTTAGCTTTCTGTTCTTCTGGAGTAGTACGAATCTCCATTTTTTGTGTTGTTTTAAATATTGATTGAAGGAAAAGGGGTTTTGGGGTTTTGGGGTTTTGGGG